ACTATTTGTAAACGGTTATAATAACCTTAATGGTGTAATACGCACAAAAAAACATGTTAGGGACCTAAAATGGACAAACAAGAAACGTTATTACCCTCCTAAGTCATTATCCCTAATTGTAAAGACGTAATAATAGATCGAAAGTTACATATTATGCTTTTAAATACTTATGATCTTCTAATATCTTATTTGAAAATTTTAGATCTCATTTTAGTAATACAAAGTTTATGATAATATTCAATATATGAATTCTACATAAAAAAACAAAAAGAGAAGAGACAGTTGCCGTGGAAAATAGGGATGAGGTTTTGATTAAATTATTTGTATCTATTAAAATAAATAAATAAATAAAAGATAAATTTACTTCATTCCTGTAAAGTTTTTTCTACAACTTACACAAAAAAATAATGATTTTCTACTAAAAATCATAAATTTCGCATTAAACACTGCAAAATTATTAAATGATCTATGAAATTACCAAATATGTAGATAAATAAGCTCATGGGCTGCAAATTTTTCTTAATAGACGATTAGTGGTCCTCATTATAAAACATATAAAAGTTAATTTAAATCAAAATAAACAAAACATATAAAAATTAATTTAAATCGAAATAAACGGGGTAAAATAGTAAATTTCAGAAAAAAAAATTCTCGAAGAGTGTAGTAAACAAATATATTCCACTGTCGTCTTCCTTGAGCATAAAAAGTCGGGGCGAAATCAGTCAAAGCATCCTTCGCTGCTCACACACGCATCTGTCAGTCACGTAAGCGGATTTCACTAACATACGCAGCAGCGATTCCCTTCTTCCTGCATCTCATTTTCAACAACAATGGTGAAATACAGGTGGATGTTACTCGTATTGTCTCTCATATTGCTTGTAGAAATGCAGTTTTCTTCTGCAATGGCAGCTCCAGGTGAGCCCTTTCACGAACTTCTACACTTGTTTACTAGTTTCACTCTTGTTTCTGAGAATATTATTGGATTTCTGGTTTGAAATTGAAATTTTATCTATGTTTTTTGATTTGCTTCTTTATCGGTTCGGAAACGATTAACGTTTGTGTTCCGGTTTATCCTCCGAGCATTTGAGCTGCAATTTTCTGAACTGCTGATCACTTTAACACATTCTAGCTATGAAGAGTTGAATACTCGTGATTATTCGTTAAAATGTGTAGATTTGTTATCTGGAATCAATGCGCAAGTGAGTAATTCCCAACCGGTTGAAAAAACTAAAAACGATCTATACTCAGGTAGTGATTACTTTAGGGTTTTGAGTTCGCAGATAAGTCCGCCATGATCGAATCTGGAAATGTGTGGAGCAGGTTTTGGTGTTAGAAAAAGTTACCGGAAAGAATCAGCCAGTTGTATTCCACAAATTACTAAAAGCTTCGGAAACAAGTTGTAATATGCATCTTAGAGCTATTTCCTGATAAAAAAATTCGACTCCTAATTTGATCAATCCACTTTTCTCAACTTGTCGGTGTTTTTTTCCCCTTGCATTTATGTAAATATATCTGTGATTGGTGAATAGTGGTTTGGAGTAATTGAATCACAATGCTGTCCTCTGATCCTCTCTACTTCTATTAGTACCTAAACTAGGGGTTACATTATATATTCCTTTTTAGTACTATGAAAGACTTTCATATACGAGCATTAAAAGTTAAAACTGTGTATCATAACTATTTTCCTCCATTAAAGCAGGTTGCCCCTTGGACATAACAGGCTCAAATCTTACTCAAGCTGCCATCCTTTGTTCCAATACAGAATCTAGAGCAAGTTGTTGTCGTTACATCAATGCTCTTGTTGCAGTATCTGTTGTTCATTATGCAAATACAACCAACAATTTAGGAGTCACTCCAGAATTATCCAAAATTTGCCTCCAAACCATATCTGAAACTTTAGAACTACACGGGATGACAAGAAACGCGACACTTTTCTGTGGATTTGGAACCAAAATTCCTGTCAATTATGAATGCCTTGGAAGAACAACTGTTAACCAGATGCTCGAATCTCCAAAATTCTCAAATGTCACTCTAAATTGCAAAGTCCCATTTGGAGAAAATGGTTGTAAAAAGTGTTTGAATTCTGGCATCTTGTTTATAAGAAACCTAGTGGGAACAGGAGACAATACAACATTAAGCACTTGTAGAGATGCAACATTTGTCTCTCTTGCTACCCAAGTTGATGACGTGTCAGCTTTTGAGATAGCTGGTTGCTTTTTTGGAGTTCAAGGCCTCAATAACATTCCATGTAAGTAAAGATTTATAAAGTTCTACATTGTGAGTGGATTATGAATATTTATATGATTCTTTTTTTTTTCTATCTTTTTGTAGTTTTGGGATCCTCTCCTCCTACATTTCCACCTGAATCATCTCCAACCCCGCTTGCTGCTAGCCCTAGTCAACTATCTTTGACCACACCGAATTTACCAAAACGCCACTCCTATCATCTCTCACTGGTTCCTGGTATTGGTATTGGTGTTATAGCACTAGCCACTTTGATGCTTGTACTAATGATTTTCCTTATTCGTGGGAAAACTAAAGAACTTGAATCCGATAAATCTTCAATGAGAACATTTTCTCAACCAATGAGAAAGTTCCAAGAATGCCCTTCATCCATGTTTAAAAAGTTTAGCTATAAGGAAACTAAAAGGGCAACTAATAATTTCGGTACCCTTATTGGACAAGGAGGATTTGGTAGTGTATACAAAGCTCAATTTAATGATGGATTATTATTAGCAGTGAAATGTATGGATAAAGTTTCAAAACAAGCTGTTGAAGAATTCTGTAAAGAAATTGAGCTTCTTGCAAGACTTCATCATCGACATCTTGTTTCCTTAAAAGGATTTTGCATTGAAAAACATGAAAGGTCAGTTGTTTATAAAATAAAACTAGTTCTTTTTATAGATGTTGTAAATGAATAGTTTTGTAAATATTGCTTCTTGTTTTTGTAGGTTTCTTATGTATGAATATATGGCAAATGGGAGCTTAAAGGATCATCTTCATAGTATGCATCTTTAAATATATTTCTTGTGCTAATTACAGAAATACCATTATTTAACCATTTCAATTTTCCTTATTCCGATAAAACCATAAAAGCTACAAACATTTTTACAATTTAACAATTTTGACCTAATATTCAAAATGGTTGATTTGGAAAACTTTAGTGGTTTGATTGGAAAAAATAAAGTATTAGTTGTTAAATTGCAAAAACTGCACAATTTTTTTTTTCTTTTATGTAATTTGCCAAGATTTTTTTTAATTTTTTTTTCTTTCTCTGAATTTGTTATGCTTGTGTGTAGCTCCAGGTGTCCCTCCGCTGAGTTGGCAGACAAGAATTCAAATCGCAATCGATGTGGCAAATGCTTTGGTAATAATAATAATAATAATAATAATAATAATAATAATAATAATAATAATAATAATAACATAAAAGAAATTTAACATTTATTTGGAAATGTTTTTGTTTTTTTTTTTTTTTTGGTATTCAGGAATACCTCCATTTCTACTGTGATCCTCCTTTGTGCCATAGAGACATAAAGTCTAGCAATATATTACTTGATGAGAATTTTGTAGGAAAGGTAAAATATGCTTTAATTAATCAATCTATTGAATTTTTAAAAATAAATTAAAGTTTCATCTTCTGATATTTGTGATCCAGGTGGCAGATTTTGGGCTTGCATATGCTTCTAAAGATGGATCCATTTGTTTTGAACCAGTCAACACAGAGATCAGAGGAACTCCTGGTTAGAAAAATATTTCTTCTTCATAATCAAAATCTCATACTTTATGATTCTAACAGAATTGGAATTTGAGATTCCATTCCAAACACATAACATTTTGTGATTCCGATTCCGATTCAGGTTACATGGACCCGGAATACGCCATAACACAAGAACTGACCGAAAAAAGCGACATCTACAGCTACGGTGTTGTACTTCTGGAATTACTAACCTCAAAAGAAGCCATACACGAAAACCGAAACCTAGTCGAACTATGCCAACCCCATATGAAATCGGAATCACGATTCATGGAACTGGTAGACCCCGGAATTGGTGATTCCTTCGATACAGACCAACTCCAAACTATTGTAACAATCATAAAATGGTGCACGCAAAAAGAAGGGAGGGGTAGGCCTTCAATTAAGCAAGTGTTGAGGCTTTTATACGAGTGTGCGGACCCCATGCATAATGGGTTTGTTGAAGCGGTGGAGGATGAGAGAGGGAGAGGGAAAGGGAATAGGAGAGAGAAAGATGGGAATGGGAATGGGAATGGGATTAGTTGGGATGGGAGGGGTTTGGCGAGTTCTTCTAGCACTTCAAGGTCTTATTGTAGTAGGAGTTTTTTGCTTGAGACTACTGGATCATATTCATCTCCTCCTCAATCTCCTTCCAATTTGTCTTCCATTTAAGTTCATGTATACATTCGATTTAAGTTTCTACATGTACATACACACTATAATCATCATCATCATTGTTCGTTTGTTACTTACTACTGGCTTTTCTATTGCTATTCAAAACAAGAACAGAAGAAGTTGGGTGTTTGGGAGTAGTTTAGAGAGATTTTGTTTTTTGTTTTGTGTATTAAAATTTCCTTCAACCCTATTGTTTTTTTTTTTTTTTTCATTTAGATTTTGTTTTTTGTTTACATTTTAAAATATAAATGGATTTATCTTCAAAATGTTGATTCATAAAGGTAAACAGTTTTGCATGGAAGTTAAGATCAACTTTGAGATAAACAAAATCTGGATTTATATTCGACATTATACATACAAATTTTTTTCGATTAAAACAGAATAATGGTATTTTTCAAGCAACTATCAACAACTCCAAAAAACCCTAACTAGAGATCTTTTTCTTCTTTGAAGATGTTCGTATAGATAAATGAGAACATGATTATGAAACTACAAGTATGTTTAAGAAGATATACACAAATACAACTATAATGATACAAAATGTTATGATCAAAGCATAACTTGAAGAAAAAAAAACATGTAAAAAAATCTTTCACAAAATCAAACCACTTTACCCTTGCTCAAGAGAACATAACCAACCACATTCACATAAACCAAGCTCTTTTCCCACAACCCCCTCTCAAAAATTAGTCCCTAGGCCCTAGGGTTCTTCAATCATCAACCTCTGAAATAACAACCAACTTTTGGAAACATCAAATCAAATCCATGAAAACATTTTCATCTTTTGACTTGTAATCCATAATCATATGAATTAAAAGAACACGTGGCATGTCTCTTTTGATCCATCTTTTCTTCACACAAATCCACTAGGGTTCTTGAATCATCAAAAGCTCACGTGCCATGTGGATGTGGCAATTCTTCTTCAAATCCATCACAAGAAACACACTTTCAATCACGGGTTTCTCACAAAAGTTGTAAAAACCACACCCTTCTTTAAATTTCCAAAAATACCCTTAGCAACCAGCAGCCACCAAGAACTTCTTTTTACTCACCGGTTCCTCAAGCAACACAACAACATCATCCAACTTCTCAAACAACTCCTCAAGTTCACTAACTCCAAATCTCCTATAATCCAATTCTCTCTTATACCTTTGTTGATAAATCGCCTCAAAACACCCCAAAAAAATCCTACACGAATAACTCACCAAAATCTCCTGTAACTCAAACCTAAACTTATCCAAACTCTCATCTTGTTCTTCCAAAACTACCCTTTCCTCATCCGAAAACTCATCAGAAGACACCACACCCTCTTCCCTACCCTTCCCTTTCCTATCATTCTTGGGTAAACATTTCCTCAAATACACAAACTTCCTCTGCCCTTTTCCTTCAATCGAAATCTTGTCCCCCATTTTCTTCAAAAGATTCACAAGTTTCAAAGTTCCATATTCAGAAACATAAAGAGGCCTCCCAAAACTTTTCTGATATTCACCTGGAAGCCTCCCGAGAGGCAAACACCCACCGAAAGATTCTAGAAGCTTCATTAGTTGACCGGTCAAACCTACCAAATCGCCAGGCTGGACCCACATCTGTTCATAAGAACCAACATGTGGTAGACTATAAGATCTTGATGTTGTAGTGTTGTATTCGGATACCATGTTTGTATTATAATAGCTTTGTGAGATTCCTCTATACACAATCGCCTCTTCTTCATTTTGAAAATCTGAATTTTCAGTTATTTGGCATCCCATTAAAAAGGTGGAGACATCACGGGTGGGGGGTAGGGGTAGGGTACGTGAGGTAGGGGGGAGGGGGACAAACCCTTCTCCACGAACTACACTAGGCCAATCCCAAACAAAACTACCAGCATTACTTAAAGCAGATGAAACACCAACACCAGATGGAATCACAAGAATGACAGTGTACCCACGTTGACCAAGAATGTGTAATGCAGGAGAAAAGTCAACATCACCTGAGATTAACATGATGGAAGAAGGAGGAGGGTTGTCTAAAGCAAAGAGAAACATGTCTACAAGAATAGCTTTATCAGCTGCATCTTTTCTACCGTTTGGGACATCTATGAGCTTCACACCTGTTCTTTGACAGCCTTCTCTTAGTCTTCTAGGAAAGGCGTTGAAGTCGCCGTATGCAGAAAACATGGTGACAGCTCCGCTGATTATAGGGTGGAGACGTACGGCCATGCGGATGTTTCCGGCCACATCTTCAGGGCGGATGTCGCTAGGGACAGGGCAGTTTTCCATGTCCCAGAGTATGGCGATTGGACCATCTGATTGGTTGGTTGAATTTGGAGAAAAATTTGTGTTTTGCATTGAGAAGTGTGATTGTTCCATGGATCCTGATGATAGAATGAATGCTGATGTGTTTGTGTTAGCCATTAATAGTACCTGTTGATTGTAGAAAAGAAACTTATTAGCTTCTTTGAAGTTCACATTCGTGTAAATTGTAATTAGGTGAATCGAATTTAAAATGGATATTTAGTGAGGTTTTTGCACGATTGGTTTGGCATTCAAGTGGAACAAACGTACGTCGATGAAATAAGAATCAATCGTATTAACACAGGTGAAATCCGATACTCAACCAAGCTAAAGGATCTTAACTTGAGCACTACGACAATCGAATTGACAAGATGAATTGGAATAAAGATTCGAGCATCAAATTAAACAAGGAAATCATTCTAAAACGGTAAACCACGACCTAAATAGATTATAATTGAAAGAAATACGAAACCAGGAAGACAATTAACAGAATCAATAGATCTGCAGCTGCGGAAATGAACGAATTGAATCGTGGATTGAAGATTCAATGATTTACAATCTTTATAAGAATCAAAAACCCATGTAGAGGGGGAGATTTATTTACCTTGGCGAAAGTAGAAAGGTGTTCTAGGGAGTGAAATTTTGATTCTGAAACGTAATAGCGAGAAGGGTTGTTTTTTTCACCAAAATCTGGTATTTTAGGGGAAAAGAAAATGCTTAACGTGCACCGACCCGGACAATAAATTGAGGTCACCGCCTACACGGCCCCATTGTGTCTTAAGAAAATCAAAATGGATATACGGATGAGTAGATAAGTAGATAACTATCAATTACAAATGATAAAGTTTACTTTATGTTTTATGCTTAAATCTTAATAAAAAATCAAATAAATTATATGCTAGTATTTTTTAAAAATATTTTATATTGCAGCTGTTAAAGATTTTTGAAAAGTTTTAGTTTTTAATTTTTAAGAAAAAAACTTAAGAGTTTTCTTTTTTTAATAGAAACTTTTAGGTTGTATGTTAAACAATTTTTTTTATTGAAAAGTTGCTTCAAATAGCATTTAATAAAATATGTCGGCATATTATAACAAATTTAAAGGATTACCTTTGAAAATACTATTTATACATTTATCTTTTTTTAAACATGTCATTTTATATAATTTTATACATTGCAAAAGCTTTATACTATTTTTATTGAACACTCATATATTCGTAAAAACTAAACCTTTTAACTCATATATTCATAAAACTAAACCTTTTATACTATTTTTATTGAACACTCATGCATTTGTTATATTTACAGTGAACTACATGTTTAGTCCTCGAGGTTTGCTATTTGTAATATTTAGGGATGAGCAAAAACTGAACCGAAAACAAAAAACCGAGATAACTGAAACCGAAAAACCAAAACCAAAGCAATAACCGACGGTTTAGGTTTGAATTTTACAAAAACCGAAAAATAACGGTATGGTCCCTGTGGTATGCATTTTTTTGGGGTTTCAGTCCAAACCTTGACTTTTTTGGATTCATAGTCCTTTTGGCCTAGTTTGTACGTAGAATTGGCCCATCGACTTAACTTTCGTTAAGTTGTTGTTGTTAACCCCCTCATGTGTCTCTCACATGAGGGTATATTTGTCTTTTCACTTCTAAGGGATCATTTTTGCAACTAAAAAAATATATCCTCTTTTTTCTTTTTTTAAATTAATATTTATATATTTATTTTAATAATTAAAAAAATAAAAGAGGTCTCTCTCTCTCTCTCTCTCTCTCGTAAAAAACACATACATAGAGCCATTGAAATTAAAACACACGTACACTAATTACTATGTTTGAAACCTGCATCGATTTAGGAAGGATTCACTGGTACACAGACACACATACTTTTTGAAATCGATTGAGAAATTGAAATTGATTGGGACAAACCAAAGCCCTTTAGGAATCGAATCGTTTAGATAATTCTCTCCCATTCAGATTCGACTTAACGATTCGTATTCACCCAGAGATTTTCGGAATTGGTCCAAACAAGAAGTTCCCTAATGTGATTAGGGTTTCGAGTTTGTTACATGTACACAAATTAACAGGAAGGAACCAGTTAATTTGTTTGAAGACACATCGAGAATATGTAGCTTCCCGTATGTGAAATTGTTTCCCCAAAGTTGCAACACATTTAATTCGACAATTCTCTTATATACTCCGACGAGATTGTTGTTGCACCTTCATCTTCTCTATGTGTTTACTCCATCTTCAAACTATATTGCAGATTCTGAAAAAGGTCCGATTTGGAAATCAAAATTGTGCTAGTGTGATAGCAAGAGGGGAAAGAGAGACTGGGAGATATGAGTGATTTTAGATTTTGTAGTGATTTCGGATTTCAGATTTTTGCAGAGGCTACCAACAGAAGAGGAAAGAACGTCGATGATGTTGACAACGGAGATTTCTTAAATTCAAATATGCTTCTCGTCCCTTCAAGGTGAGTTCCCCATTTTGTTGAATTCACCAAAATTCTGAAATTCTTGATCAACCTTACCTTGAACAAACATCGATAATTCCAATTTTGAAATTCTAATTCCTGTGGGAGTAAATCAATTGATAGTTTATGTCCTACTTTCGTTAAACTTGGTCAGGGTCTCTCCACCAGACCAGATCTTTTTCCACCTGAATTCCTTGAAGAACTCTCTCCGGGTAACATTTTTCCAATTGTCAGTTGAGACCATTTTCATATGCCTAACAGTTGACATTGACACCATATTTGTATGATTGAGCAGGATGATTTGCCAACATTCCCAGATGTAGAGGCATTTGCTTTCATTGAAAAAGAGCTCGGGATCCATTAAACTAATACGTAAACGTAGTAACTAGTGATGTTGTTTGTAACTTCCATTACTTGAGAGAGAGAGAGAGAGAGCTCTTTTATTTTTTTAATTATTAAAATAAATAAATAGGTATTAATTTTAAAAAAAAAGAGGATATATTTTTTTAGTTGCAAAAATGGTCCCTTAGAAGTGAAAAGACAAATATACCCTCATGTGAGAGGCACATGAGGGGGTTAACAGCAACAACTTAACGGAAGTTAAGTCGGGGGACCAATTCTACGTACAAACTAGGCCAAAAGGACTATGAATCCAAAAAAGTCAAGGTTTGGACTGAAACCCCAAAAAAATGCATACCACAGGGACCATTTTTGCAATTTTGTCTATTATTTATTATGTCTTAAACTTTTAGTTTTAGACTTTAGACTTTAGATTTTATCTCTTTAATACTTTATGATTATTTTCAACAAACTGTCAAGAGTGTTAACTTTGATCTTTTCAACACTTTTATGCTTTTAGAATACTAGAATCCGTACTCTTTATTATAGTATATTTAAATTAGATACAATACTATTTATCACAATGTACTTTCACTGGGTTTGAACCCAAAAACTAGAAAAAAAGGAGCTCATAAACCCGCAGTTTAAAACCGAAAACCCATAAACCCAACCCGAAAAACCGAAAAAACAGAACCATGCAAAAACCGAACCTATATGGGTCGGTTCAGTTTTTATGGGTGGTTTTATACGTCAAAACCGAACCTATATTGGCCTGCTCAGAACCCAGTCTAAAGCCAAGTCTGGGCCTTCGCCAACGCGAAGGGCGCTGATAAGGCGGTTAAGGTGTAGAGTCGCGCCTAAACCCCTTCTCCAGGAAATCATACCCTGGCAAACGTGGGACCAGTCAGAGAGTCTCACTCGCCCATTAGACGATAGCCACGATCTTCGTAAACGTTTGGAAGATCTCCTTCCAGCCAATGAGAGAACGAGGCAAAAGTCGTGACGGAGGACCCTCCAATATGGGTCCACCACGTCGCACCTCACGAGGGAATCCTCAACAGAATCAGCTGAGAGACACACCTCTCAAACAGGTATAAAAGGATCAGGGAGGGGAAGGAATTATCTCTTTTCTGTAATCAATTACCATCTCTCTCAGATCTCATACTAACTAGATCGTCGGAGCTTCGTCCCGGTAACCCCTCTCGGGCGTCGACTAACGATCTCTTTCCTGTTTTGTACTGTGATATCAGGGGAGGTCATCTTCGCAGAGTTCACCGGCAATCTCGATTCAACCATTCTCTGTCATATCACCACATTTGGCGCCATCCGTGCGTATCTTTAGAACGATACATCCACGCAACAAATTCAACGAGCAACAATGGCAGGCGAAATCCCAATAGTGTCTGGAGCACTAGAAAAAAGTCTGTTGCGTCCGATGCAGACACTAAAAGGAGGGAAAACTTCTGTTCAGGAAAGGCATGCCTTAAATCGCACTCCAGTTTCACAAACGTCATCTAGTTCTGCACTACATACGATAACAACTCTCACGGCCAGCCTCTGGCGCCCAACAGTCAACACAATTCCACAAGTGGTGATCGTAACCACAAATCGTCATATCACAACAGTTTAAAAACCGAAAAACCGACTTTCAATGGTTTAGTTTGGTTTTAGCCAAAAACCGACTCATGCTCATCCTTAGTAATATTTGTAGTCCACAAGATAGATATGTTATACATTTGGTATTTATGTAACGTTTCCAAAAATTACAAATAGAATTTTTAAAAATAGATTAACCAATTAAACCTTTACTTCAAAAACCATTGAATAACATTTGATTAATTGAAAACCATACATTATCAAAATTAAGTTTACAAAAACATGGAAACGAATATGTTGATGCAAGTGTACAATCATGTCGAGATCACGAACGACCTACAAAATGTTTTATCTACAACTGTAAGCATAAATCTTAATGAGTTCCCCAATATATCACATATTCCGCTATACATACAATACTCGACTCTAGCGTCGAGCAACCAAAACTCCTACCTACATACATATATCATACGTAATGGGCCCACCCCAAGAGTTTGTGGGCCCAACCCAACTCCCATAACGGGCCCCGTCTAAACATACATAACGGGGCCCACCCAAGGAGTAAACGGGCCCAGCCCAGACTCCCTTGTCGGGAGCTACATCCTGATCTTTCGTACTATTGCCAGAGGCCAAATCCTATTCTTCCATAAAATGTCAAAGCCATACATTGTGGCACTAGATTGACATTCAAACAAATGATCAACCCACAAGCAATAAATCAGACAAGAACCATATAGTCGGGCATTACACCAAAAGTTCTTAGGCTATCCAACTTGACTACATACAATCTCTTACGATAAATATACAACAACAAATCAATACTATAAATACCCTAACCAATTATGACACCTAGCAGAATCAAATAAACCTCATACAAGACTCTATCAGGCTAGCATACCGTGACACTAAGTATCCTAATTGCATAAGCATAACAAGGAGTTAACCTAGTCAACTAGCATACCCGTACTCTAACAGTACCTCTATCCTACTGTGACATCCTCATTTTCACGGCCAGAAAAGACCGATTTTGTTTATGCTTTGTTTGAAAATCAGAGTAACATTTAAATAAAAGTGTTGCGGAATTTGTTCCCAAAAACAAAACATGATAAAGATTTATCAAATCATTTCCAAAGAAATGTATTTCATTAAAACCTCGGGATGTCATGTTCGATACAGATCAAAAGCATAAACAATACAATACAAGCATTACTACATTTATTCATATCTACAGGCTTATAATCCCTTATCTCTCATCCAAACATCTATGCTCATGCGCCACTACCTGTAATACAAGAAACTGAGTGGGTCAGGCTTGGGAGCCTGATGAGCACATACGGTTTTCAACCCACAATAAATAAGTTTAT